AATATAAATCAGCTAATTCATCTTAATGAAACAAATAAAAGTTCTGGGGAAAAATATGCAATGATGATGATGAAAATTTGAAGATAATTTCTTTGAAATTGAGACAATTTCAATATATATTATCTAACATTGAGATTAGATAATAAAATAAACTGAAATAATGATTGTTATATAACAAGAAAAGTCCATAGGGAAGTGAAGTTGAAATTGAAGTCAATGTTAATTATATTCATTACATCAAATTCAACGTTATAAAGATATAACTTTTTTTCTTGGTCAAGTTAATTTCAACCACTCCCAGTTTATCATCACCATCATATTATTATCAATGGTCACCTCCCTGTTGATCAATTAAGAGTAAAAGATAACGGTATCTGAATAACATGTAAGTTAAAATGCTCACCAAGAAAAGGATGATAACAATGTTATCAACTTTATCTGAATTACAATTATCTTGAGAGATATTCAAAGATTAGAAACACTTGATATCACCAGGAAACTGAACATATATTTCATGGAGAGAGAGAGAGAAAAGTTCTGAGCTTGAAATTTTCGTAAAACTTTACCTGAACTTTTGCTTAATTTTCATGGTCTTTTCTTCAGATTCTTTAACATTGTTCAGAATAGTTTATTGATATTTTTACTGTTTTTCCATCAAATTTTCATTTCCTCATCAGAAGTTATGAAATCGAAACATTGATTTACTTTAATTCAGTCTCAATGCAATTAACTTGGTAACTATAAATGAGAGAGAGAGAGAGAAACATTTATTCATTCATTTGATTTCTTTTTGTTAACTCTTAATGGGCTCAGGGAATGTTTCATGAAAATAACATAGAATTAGTTTCAGAATAAAAATCAGAACCATTATTATCATCATCTGCATCTCAACATTTCCTTGTCAATCAATCAAAAAGTTCTTGGTATCATAATGGTAAAACATTTTATCTTCTTCCATTCATCTTGTGAATAATATTCATGATTGTGATTCTTCATGACTGAAACCTCACTTGACCATCATCATAATCATCATCATCATCATTTAGCTTTACTGTCGATTGGTCAGCGAAGGGCTGCTTAAAGCAGAAGAGAAGCCAACAAGAAATCATTAGAATATTCAAAATCCTATGGATATTTTACAATTCATTTATCATGGAAGAAGAAGAAAAAAAAATCTTTTCCTCCATAAGAGCTAATCAAATACACAGAATAAGAAAGAGATAATTCTCATTTTGTAGATGACCATTGGTAAGACAAATGTTCAATGGATAATAGAAAATATTTGTTTACCTTGATCACAGTTTACCTGATAGAAAAATGAAAGAAAAGTCATCAATTATATTGATCTTCCAATGAATTTGATGTATTTAGAATTTATCACTTTAAGATGATCCTCTCTTTAAAACCATCGAATCGTTTAACCATCAACAACAAATAAAACCCACAAGATGAATACTAAAGATTAATGATAATCAGAAAAGGTAAACCTAATGGTCATCATTTCATATAAAATATAACCAAATTATCATCTAAAGGCGATTCCATGATAATTATTAATAGAAGACGAAAAAGCAAAGCCCATTCACCAAGATTATTAGGATATTTGAAAAAGTTTCGAGTCTTTTTTTTTCATCCACTTCCTTCATTGTAAACCAAATTATCGTCCTAATCATCATTATCTTCATAATCATGATACTTTTGTATTGTTATCATGATTGTTTCTCTCTCTCTCTCACTATTTTCTTGATTAAAAAGCTTAAATTGAGATAAAAGTTAAAGTTGTTAGGCCAACAACTATTTAAGATCCACTGAATTTAGTAGGAAGACTCAAGTTGAAAGTAAATTACTCAGTAAATAATATCTTCTAATCAGAGGGAAGTGGTTACTTAAATGAAGATGAGGATGATCATGATCATGATGATTAAGAGGAAGAGGAAACACCAAAGGTAATAGTTAGAAGTTGATGGTTAAAGTAACAAAATGTAATCAATGTTGAAGGCACGCATACGATGAGCATTTATATTTATATTATATTAGTTAACTTAATAAATATGATCATTGAGAAATAAACAAGAAAAAATTAACCATATCCAAGTTCAACTTGAACCCAACAGATTAGGATAAAGAGGATTTGAAAAAACTTTACGAATTTAAGGATTTGGATTTGATTCCATATGATTAATTGTTTTGATTAACAGTTTGATTAACTTTCCTCTATTCTACTCTGTGATTTAATATTAAAGTTAATCTTTAATCTCAGGGTGAAAATTGATCAAGATAAATGTTACATTCACATGGATTTGACTTGTTATCATGATTATGATAAAAGTAAACGATAATAACGGTAAAACTTATATTCACTAAAAGATTAAGGTGATTACCTATTATTTTGTTTTTCTCGGTTCATTGTGACAAAAATTGTTCAATATTATCATGATTATCCTTACCAATCATATTAATTATCATCATATTGCCAATAAATTGACTCATTCTTTCAACTAATAACCTTAAAAAAGTTTTTCGTTTTCTCTTTAGCTTTTCAAACAATTGAAACTTAGTCTTTTTCCCACTCACACTTTTCAATGCTCATTTCAAGACTCTCATGTTGTCAATTGTTTTCATGATAACGATTCTTAAATGTTGTCATTTATTAAAAACTTTACCATCATCATTGTAAAGATTAAGGTAACATTTATCTTGGAAGTTTATTATTACTCTTGGTGAGTCTTATATACATTAAGATTGTTTTCCTGTGGATAAAATTAAGTCGATTTTTTTTCTCTCTCTCATTCTCTCCCATGTTCTAACCTTTTCCACCCTCTCCATTATCCTGTTTTATTCTGTTGAACATTCTGATTGACTCTATACAAACTTTAACCCTAATCCAATCTCGATATTTCAATAGGGAAATGATATAATGTTTTTCATGGGGAAAATGTTACAGAGGAAAATGTTTAGAGAAATATTTCCCTCTTAGTTTTAAGTGAACTTACACTCCAATCTGTTCATCCATTTAACTCCCAGAATCGACAGATTTTTATCATCTTTAAGTCTTTTCATCATCCTCATCCTCATCCTCATCTTCATCTTCATCTTTTAACCTTATTCTTTGTTCATCATCTTATAATCTTTCTCTCTCTCTCTCTCCCTCGGAAACACCAAAGTTACTTTAAGAATTTTATTTCCTTGTTTCTCATTCTATGTGAATGTATTTCCAATCCACAAATTCAGGGGGAAACTCTGAATATCTACAGACTAGAACTTTCCTTCCCTCGGTCTCATGTTAATCTACTTCTTTTCCACCATAATCACCATCTTATTAAGGAATGAGCTCAATGAATATATATTGTATTCTGGTGGACTGAATAAGATGCTATTCAAGGTGATGATATAATAATATCAATAATGCTACAGGTTAGTTCAATTAGTGATTAGGATACTCAGGGTATTGATTTATTGTCAATATCCGATGATAAGTTTTATTGATTTTCCATTCAATGGTATATATAATATGATACTCAAGCAGATAAATTGAAAGTGTGAACGATTTTCATGGTGTGTGAGTTGATGAAACTTTCTCCCTATCGATAATTAATGAAGATTATTCAATCAATTCAAGTTGATAGAACTTGAAATTGGTATTGAGAAAAAAAAATCTCCAACAAGGAATAATTTTCTTCTTTCCCCATGTTCTAATTATCTTATGATTTAGGTTTTTCAATGAGAATTGAATTTGTAATTGTTAAAGATTAACCAAGTTAATTGGGTACCTTGTTAATTGTTAACTAACTGTTAACCTTAAACTACTATTAAGACAATAATGGCTGAAGGAAATAAGTACGATGATTAAGGTTATTATTATCACAATGATACAGAACTTGGAGAGAGTGGAAGAGAGAGAGAGAGAGAGAGAGATGAGGATGAGGATGAGGATGAGGATGAGGAGACAGTGGAAGGAGAGTTTATTTTAATTAAAATCAGCAAAGAGACGATGGATGAGTGAGGGTGGAAAAAAATTCCAGGGAGAGAGGAGCATCTTCTTGGAAGATTTCAAGACTAATCCATTCAATTATCACTTTTTATATTCTCATGTAACATAAGAGAGACTTTTTTTTTCTTCATTCGAATCTTTTGAACATTCTTATATATACTGAGAAGATGGTGGTGATGATGATGAGAAGAGAAAAAATAGTTCCTCATCCTTTTATCTTCCTTACCCTTTCTCTTCATCTTCTCTTTCATCCTCATCCTTATCATCATCAAATTGAATACCATTTACCTCATCAGATGAATAAGCTGATTCTCAACATTCACAGGGAATTTTTTTCTTCTTCTAACAAAATTTAATTAACAGTCACTTAATTATCTTCTGATAAGTTTTTTCTTCTCTCTTATCATCATTATCATCTTTAAGTATCTTCTCTGTTAATAACTTATTGGTTTCTCATCTTCATCGCAATTCATAACATCTAACAAAAAGTAACTTGATTCAGTTAAAGAAAACGTGAGATTTGAGTTAACATTTCATCATTTTCATAATTAGGCCAATTGTGAATTTGATAATTGTATATAAATTTCCGTGTTATTAACGAGTGACAAATGAAACCAATTATAATCAGTTAATTACAATTAACAAAATGAAGAGAATTTCAATTTTGATTATAAGTTTCCAATTGAAATCGTTCTGTTATTTGCTTTCCATGGGATTCCAGGTGAAAAATATAATACCCATGGAGTGAAAAGTTATCACAGATGAAATAATCATGAAAACATGAAATTCAATATCGATAATAATTTATTGGTAAAAATTATTCACAGAAATAACTTTTTTAGCTCTCACTTTTTTCACCACTGTCACTCAAAAACAAAGTTCAGTGGAAAGATTCAGTTCATGGTTATTATTAATAATGATATTATATCAATATCATGATAATAAAGTTATCATGGTGAATGGGGAGAGAGAGAGAGAGCCGAGTATCCTGAATGAATCAAAAGATAGATGAAAATGAATTTTCTATTAATATAATAATAATAATAGTAAAAGGAATTGATTATGATAATGTTATTAAATTGTTGTTCAAAAAGAACAAAAAAAATGAAATGAATTCAATTGAACACAGAAATATTATCATCTTGTGAATATCACATTATCATGATGGAAATAATTTTCTCATGAAATAAGTTTTCCTCTTTCCAATTGAGTTGGAATAATTTTTCTTTCGCATTCTGATTAAATGGTGGCTTCATTTTTATGCTTAACTTTGCACAATTAACTTAATATTGTTTGTTCAAGTTAATTAAATGATAATTCATCTCTGTCAATTTGTTGCCTTCTCCATTTGGTCAAAAGTTATTGCAGTTTTCTTGCTGAAGATGAACATCTTAAAGTTGATGAGATAAGATGAATAGTCCCCATGGTGGTTTTCATGGTGATTGAATTGATACAATGAATAGTGGCCAGTTAATAGGATAATTAGTGTCAAATGAAATAATTAGTGGTTCCAAAAGGTTAGCATGTGCAATATCAATGGATTAGAAAACATGATCTGTAACAGATTAACAAGAAATTAAATTAGTTAACAAGTTTAATTGGATCTGATCAGAGATGAATTATCAAAGTTCTGGGAAAAATAATTCGATTCACTTTTTTCCCCCTGGATGACATTGTGACTTTTTCTGTTTGAAGTCGAGCAAAGTGAAAAGAATACCATTAATTTCAAATGAAATATCATGAAGTGGGAAAAATAGGGGGAGAAAAGTTCTGAGTGTATTCTGATTCATTTGACATTCTCAATTCAAAAAGAATTAGAATTTGATAAGAAAAAAAAATGTTGAAGGTAATTAGAGTTTTTAACTGAGAGATATTTTTATCATATGTACCGTTGATTGACATTTCCTATGTTTACCAAAAGGATTGTTCAATGTTGACATGATGATAAGTTGATATTTCATATAATTCGTTCATGGGTGTTGGAGGTTTAGATAAAGTTATGCAAAGATATTATGATGATGATGACAAAGGAAAAGGTTCTCATTTAATACTGAAGAAATCTTATCATTTTCTTTTCTTCATAAACTCCCTCATCAGCATCTTCATCTTTTCAACTCATTCTCACCCTCATACAAAGTCATTCAAGATCTTTTCGGTGTAATTGTGACATATCATCAGCTCAATTCTGATTTGATATCATGATGAAAGAGAGAGAGAGAGAGAGAGAGAGAGAGAGAGATGATTCTCTTTTAACATATTAAATTGAACATCTTCATCATATGATCACAAAATTATAAGTTCTGTCTGAATATTCACCATGAAATGAATGATAGACTTGACATAGTAAAAAGAAGAGGAAAACTTATGGAATCAAATTATTCGCATCAAATAAATCGGAGAGAAAATGTTGAAATAGTAACAATCAGATAGAAATCAGTGAATCAGAGAGATGAATAAATTCAAGCTCATTGAATACACAAAATTCAACTCATCAAATTCATCCGACTAAACTCGTACCTTAATTCATATAACCAGCAATTAGTAAATCTCCTATTTGATTATCATTAATGTTCATCAACAACGAGGAGCAAAAAAAAATCTAAACACTAGCCTGGAAAGATCAACACATTAAGATAATATTCAAAAAAAGTTCTAAACTATGATAATAACTTATGTTAATATTGAGAATTAAATAAGCTTACATTGAACTTTTAAATTGTTATTAGTTAAGCACATTTTCCTTGTATATAAAAAAGTTATTGAATATTCCCATAGGGTTTGTTACAATTTATTCTGATACTTTGAGTATTTCAATTCCAACTCCAGTGATTATCACAAAACGATCAGGCCTGAAAACAAGATGAAAGAGGAAAAAAAGAAACCAGAATTAACATTGGATAGAAAAATAGTTGAAAAATAAATAAGAAAAAAAAGTTTATCATAAATTATCTCAGATTATGTTATCATTTTCCTTTTCGTATTCAGGTTGATGAAATCTCTTCATGATTATCTAATGATAATTCAATTATAACATGTATTTAATATTTTCTCTCAATCAGGATGAGAAAAAAAAATTATATCAAATTGAATAATTATATATATATGATAGATGTTCAATGCTTACTTGACATAGAGTATAGTTGAAGATGAAATGTCAGCAACAGAGATTAAGCGAGATAAAATTGGATGAATTGTTATATCATTCGCATCAGAATTTACTGAATAGCTCCATATAGCGATCTTCTGGTCAATTGAACATGTGAGAAGTGATACATCATCGAAAATTGACACAACTAGATTAGTGAAAATCGAAAAAGAAAGAAAAAAGTTAGAATATTCGACTAAAGAAAAAAAAATAGCAAAATAAAGAGAGATATTCAATTCGATTGATTTAATGATTACCTGATATTTGTGAACAATGAATGGTACCAACTCTTTTTTGGACAATTAACTCAATATACCCACCAACCAATCTAATTAGGGATGCAGTTAGTACTGCATCATCACCAGAGGAAACAATTAGCCAAATATCATCTTGAATATGGGGAAATTGAAAACAAAATGTTAAAACTGTGGACAATTAAAGTTAATTTTGTGTGATTTTATATGATTTACCTTTGATTAATTTTGAATCAATACAATTGATTCCTGCTTCATGAGAGGATAAGCTATTTTTTTGTTTAAACCTTGAAATGTTTAATTGTTCAATTTGAGATTCAAGAGTTTCAACATTGTTGATTTTTTTCACTTGATTGTTGATTATCCAAAATCTTAGGTCACCATCATTTGATCCAGTAATTAGAGTATCATTGATACGATGTAAAGCCAATGGACAATAATTGCAAACTTTGATCTCTTTAAACGGGCTCAAACTGTTTTCAATTAATGAGAACATTTTGATAAATGAATCTGAACTGGTCACTGAGATTAAATAGCCACCCGATGATTGTGATTCCACAATGTTAATTGTTAAATAACGGGATATTGGGTCATTGTTTTTCTCTAAGGCTGAACGTAAATGTTGTCCTCTATTTTTATCGTCCACAAGATTATTGTAAACTTGAACAATAACCATTCGTTGTCCTTTACGAATTGTTATTGACCAAACAATTAACTGAGATTGTCCACCAGCAGATACCATGAGTACAGATCCATCGGGCTTTTTGATTGCGGCCAAGGCTCGAACTGCACTTATATGACCTTTACAATTATCGGTGTTTTTTAAATGCCCAGTGACAGAATTGAATTGACTTAAAACTATATTACAATCTTCACCTCCAGTGGCAATGATAGCCACAGGCTCGTCATAATCAATCAAGCAGCTACAGTTAATTTTACTCGAATGAAATTTGGACTTAATGTAAGGATTTGCCATGTCCAGTGGTGTAAATAGACGGGAAATAAAGTGTAGATCAGATTTACTATAATAGGAGAAATTAAGTGAATCATTGACAATCTTAAAATCCCAAATACGATGACCACCTCCACAATTAACTGTCCACAAGCGAGATGAATCAACTTTCCTCCAAACGACAAAATTATCAGATGAAAAACCAACAAGAGTAAGTTCATGATCAGAGTCAAATGAAATCCTTTCAATCCAATCAAAATCGTTTTCTATTTAACAAAGTAAACAATAAAATTAGTTAATCATTTTCATATTAATAAATCAAAATTGTAATAGAAAACAAAAACTTACTTATTGGGACTAAACGGAGTTTGGTTAATGTTTCACCATTCCAAAGATATTCAATTACTTTTCCATCTCTACCACTAGAGAAAAGGGTCTTCCTGAATTCAGGGTGAAATTTCAGATCAGTAATACCATGCTTATCATGAACTGCTCGGAGTGACTGGATTGATGTTATTTGTTTATTTGAGAAAACGGAAAGATTACCACTGGCATCTCCGACAATTAAACGATAGTTGTCAAATAGAGCACAATTAACCCAACGATGTCTACATGGGTTCATTTCATAATCATTAACCATTGCTTGATTATACCATAATTTGATTGAACCATTAAGCCCAGAAGTGAGTAAAATTTATTATTTATAAGGAGACATGATAAAATTTTACCATCATGAGCTTGGAATGAATATTTTTCAACCATAGAGGGTAAGGTAATTGCTTTAACAATACCAAATCTATTGGCACAATAAAATGTATTCTGATCACTTAGACAGCCAACACAATAAGATTCAAAAGTTTCACTTAAATATATTGATCGGTCCATGATGATTGTACCATTGTTAACATGGAGAATTGAACATTGCCCATTGTCGGTTACACAGAGTAAATTGGGATCGGTGGATGAAGATGAATTCAGGTAAGAGATGAATTTTGGTAAAGATGATAAACAATTACCTGAAATCCGTTCAGATTGAGCTAATTTACCTTTAAGAGAAAACCTTTTTACACTTGTATCATTGGATCCAACATATACGGCTCCTTGTTTGGGCGAAGTGGCAAGACACCATAGCGATGATCCATCGGAATTATTTGTTTTGTACATTAAAGCTCCAGAATAAAATGACCAGATACAAATCTCTTCATTTTCACCGCAACTAATTAGATAACCATCCAGTGTTGTTAAGGAAAATATTCTCGCAGTGTGACTATAAAGTTGATGGAGAAGGATAAATTTACTTGAAGCCCATGAAGATGCATCACCAATTAAACAATTTAAATGGGACCAAACGTTTATACACCGATCATCTGAGGCAGTGAACAAAGTGTTAGATGAATAATCGTATTCAATTGCAAAAACAGCGCCTTCATGGTGATTAAGTGTGGAAATTATGTTGGTCGATCCATTTTTGTAACACCAGATTGATGTTGTTTTAAAAGGTGTTCCAGAGGCAATAAAAATATTCTCAGAAGAATCAATTGACAAAATTCGAGCAGAGTAAATGATACACTGGACAGGAGATGAAATTTTCTCTGAAATCTTCCAAGTTTCCATATCAACTGTTACAAATGAATTATCAGATAGAACAGCGAAAATAACATCATGGTGAAGTTTGATTGTTGTTATCCATTTCTCCAAGAAAATTAATTCGTTAACAAATTCTAAACTGACTGAATTTCGGATAAATACGTCTTTTATCACTTGGAGAACAACTAAATAACGATTACCACTAACGATCACAAATAGATCATCATCAATAGATCTGGTTTGTATTCCATGGATAGAGAATGGACTAAATAATCGTTTACTTGCAAGAGATTTCCATGGTTTCTCAAGCTCACCAATAGGCCATAATTCAAGTTTATTTCCCGACCCTAATGAAAAAAAAAACAAAATAAATCAAATTAAATCAAAAATCAACCAAAAAGTAAAAACTAAATTGTGAAAATTAATCAAACCAACTTACCGGTAAACAAATAATCATCATGTATATGTAAGGCTGTAATTGGAGCCCAACAATCAACATAATTAAGTTTCAAAGCTAAAGCCATTTTAAACAGAATAAAAAAAAACGATCACAACTAATCAAGTTAAATCGGCGAGAACAATTAACAGTTTGAATTAAAGAGAAACAAAATTGAAAAAGAAAATATGGAAACCACGTGATCGAAGAAAAGATTCTCATTGGTTGATAGAAAAACATGTGATCGATTTTCACTTTTTCTAAATGTAAACATTAGATTTTCATCTAAATTTAATCTTAATTAGTTTAATTATCTTTTAGTTTATTAACAAAGTTTAAACTATTCTTTGAATACATTATCACAATCTAATTAAAACTCTCCACAAGTGAAACAATGGTAAGTTTCTTTAAGAGAATTTAATTGTTTAAATGATTTTGAAGAGACAATTTAATCTCTTTGAGTTTTTTTTTCTTCTTTTCTTTTTTAATTTTTTCTTCTTTTCTCTTTGATTTAATTTGTTTATTTATTTTCTTTAGCAAATGGCAAGTCGGAGTTTGTTTCGTTTAATCCGTTCTAGTCCATCATCTGTATCTTCAATCTTTAATCTTGGTATCATCAAGTATCAACAGACTTGTTTACAGCGATGCTCAATTTCATCAACTTGTAAATTATTTACATTTAAGGTTCCATTTTATTTTGATAAAGGGGATAAAGAGGAAACTGATGAAAGTCCAGATGAAAAAGAAGATCGTTATGTTAGGCAATGGCTGAGTGAAAAGGAGTTTCAATATCAAACCATCGAGGATTTTAAATCTTTTCTAACCAGCGATGAAGATGTCACTAAAATGAATTGGATTCTAAATGAATATGAAATAGCAAAATATGATACAAGTTTATGTCCATCCTTTTTACCACCGGAAAGAGCTAAAGAGATGCTAGAAAATTTTCCCGATCAAACTAAATTAATCAACTATTTCCATTATTTATACTCTCGTGAGAATCGTAAAAATGCTGAAAAATTAAGGAGAAGTGATAACAGGAAAGAAACAGCGATAAATTTACGACGAGCCCATGATAATAATGTAAAATTAGAAATGGGAATTCAATATGACTCGAAAACTGGTAAACCCGCTTATGGTAAATGGCGAAATGCTTGTTTCATTGATTTAGGACGGAAAGAGGAATATACTGTTTATATACCTCAGAACATTGTCTCTTCTCTGTTTGGACAAAAGCTTGTCATCGATTTTTCTTACGAGGATTGTATGTCCATCCAGGAAAAGAAAAGTCTAATCAAACAATTAAATTTCTCTTTCCAAGCAATCAGAGAAGATGAGGAACCATTTGACTTTTGGTTCTGTAATTTAGATGATCAAAGTAAAACCTATTCACTTTTGGAGAAAAGTCTTGGTTGGGATCATCAGGCTAAATTTTCTTCTCATTTTATACATCGGACATCAAAATCGTATATTGACCTATTTCCACGTGATAAGTTAATCTATTTGTGTCCCGATTCATCTTACGATTTCACCAATTACGATGATGAGGCCGTTTACGTTGTCGGTGGTTTGGTTGATCGTCGAGTAGTTAAACCTGTTTCTCTGGCTAAATGTAAAAAAGAAAAACTGAAACACATGAGATTACCATTAGATCAACATCTATCAATGATTGGAAGTAAAATATTAACAATTGATCAAGTAATTTCAATTCTAATCGGTTTGAAATCAGGTAAATCCATGGAGGAATCATTGAAATTATCAGTTCCAGAAAGGAAATTAAAGAAACCTGAACAAATTGAATTAGAAAAAGCAAGACGTCTCCTTAAATTAACTGTACAAAAACATAGTAGAAAAAATTTGTATTATTGAAAAAATTTCATTTTCTTTCATCGATTCAAATGTAAATCAAATTAACATGAAATTTAATTGTTTTGTTTTTTTCCTCAATTTCATCAACATAAACAAACTTGAAGAGTCTCCTCTGTATCTCTCTCTCTCTCTCTCTCTCTCTCTCTCTCTCTCTCTCTCTGTCTGTCTTGTTTATCCCTTTCATTGTATAATTTTAGGTTTTACTTTGTTCCACTAATTATAAATAGAGAAAATCAATAAATCCACTTGGTCCAAACTAATTCACTCAATTTAATTAATCTTCACTCAACCTTAACAATTGAATTGAAGTTAATTCAAAAAGAGCTCGTCCCACATGTGGCGCCCTCTTTATTTTCCTTTGATTCCATTGACTGAAATGTCAGTTGACCAAAATACTCAAAGACAATCAACTTAAATTGTGATTAATTTTATATTTTTTATTACCAATTTGAATAACATATCATCAATTTAAAGAGTTGTTGATATAATTTTCGTAATGCCATTGAAAATTGAGACCAGAACTATTGAGGAAACTTTGGCTCCTTTGGTTCTTGAGGTTAGTTGATTTTTTTTTTGCCTCTTCTTTTGTTTTTGTTGATAACTTTGTTGTTAATTGTGATTTGTGTTTTTTTTTCAAATTGTGTGTTGATTTTTAGGTTACCACTTTGGTTAATAATCAGGAGAAAAGGAAAGGTGGCCGATCTAAAAGACCTCAAGTGCTTGTTGCTACCGTTGAAAAGTCAATTGAAAATTTCATCACCATTGGTGAAGAAATTGCCAGAGAAAATGAAGATATTCAAAAAGAAATGAGTATTTGTATTGATAAAGTAAGGGAAGCGGGTAAGAATATGAGTGAAGCCTCTCGAGAATTTGCCGATGATCCATTTTCTTCAGTTAAAAGGAGCAAAATGGTTCAAAATTCAAGGAATTTACTCTATCGTGTTGCTGAGTTAATCATCTTAGCCGATGGTGTTGACGTGACAAACCTCCTTCGGTCTTTGGAAGCAGTTGAGAGTGATCTCAATAACGTAGCAAATTCAAATAGTCATGATGAACTGATTGAACATTTCAATAAGTTTGGTGTGAATGCAAATAATTTATTCTATCATGCAGCTAAACGACAAAATGAACTTAAAGATTCTAAAGCGCGAGATGATCTTGGTGCTGCTCGAGCTGTTCTCAAGAAAAACAGTATGATGCTTTTAACCGCATCTAAAGTGTTTGTCCGTCATCCTGAATTATCATCAGCCAAAGAGAATCGTGACTTCATCTTTAGACAAGTTTGTGAAGCTGTTAACACTGTCAGAGATGTTGCTAAGGGTAACAAACCAAAAAACATGACAGATTCATATGATATTCCTGGAGAAATGGCAACCGCATTGGATGATTTTGATGAAAGATTCATCATGGAACCATTGACTTACAATGAATCAACCACTCGACCCGATTTAGAGAGACAATTGGAAAGTATCATCAGTGGAGCAGCCTTAATGGCAGATTCATCTTGTACTCGTGATATAAGAAGAGAGAGAATCGTCGCCGAGTGTAATGCTGTTCGTCAAGCTCTTCAAGATCTTCTTTCCGAATATCTTGCCAATGTTGGTTCTCATGAGCCATCCGATAATTTGGAAAGAGCTGTTGAACATATGACACAAAAGACAAAAGATTTAAGGAGACAATTGAGAAAATCGGTCATTGATCATGTTTCAGATTCATTCATGGAGACCAATGTTCCGCTTCTTGTTTTAGATGAGGCTGCTCGTCGTGGAGATGAAGTTGAAGTTGAAAGATATCAAGCCATGTTTGAGGAACATGCAAACAAATTGGTTGAAGTCGCAAATCTTGCCTGTAGTATGTCCAATAACGAGGAAGGTGTTAGAATGGTCAGATACGCAGCCTTACAGATAAAAAATCTTTGCCCGCAGGTCATAAATGCAGCTAAGATTCTTGCAGCTCGACCCAAATCAAAAGTAGCCATTGAAAATATGGACGCTTTTAAAAATCTTTGGGAAACACAGGTTAGAATCTTAACCGAAGCCGTTGATGACATTACAACGATCGATGACTTTTTAGCAGTTTCTGAAAGTCATATTCTCGAAGATGTTAAAGAATGTGTTTCTGCACTTGGGGAACATGATGGTGACAATCTTGACCGAATGGCTGGAGCTATCAGAGGACGTGCTGCTCGTGTTTGTAATGTTGTTACAGCAGAAATGGACAATTATGAGCCTAATGAATACACCGAACGGGTTTTGGCAGCAGTTAATGAACTAAGAAATACAATTATGCCTTCGTTTGCTGGTAAAGTGGAAAAGGCTGTTGAACTTTTAAGTAACAATCAATTGAAAGACTTGGACGACAATCAGTTTATTGATGCATCTCGGATGGTTTATGATGGAGTGAGAGAGATCAGAAGAGCCGTTCTTATTGACCGATCTCCTGAAGATATTGATTCGGAAACTGACATGGATTATGAAGATAACATTTATGAAACTCGAAGTAAATCAAGTGTTATAACCGATTTTGATGAATTTCCCGATGTTGCTGAAATAAGTAACACCAGAGAAGCTTATAGAATGATTTCCGAAGAGGAGAAGCAAAAAATTGCAGCTCAATTCGAAACATTTAGAACTGAAAAGGTTCGATTCGATCGAGAGGTTGCTAAATGGGACGAAAAGGGTAACGATATCATTGTGATCGCCAAGAAGATGTGTTACATTATGATCGAAATGACGGAATTCACTCGAGGTAAAGGACCATTGAAAACAACCATGGATGTGATCGGTAAAGCGAAAGAAATCTCTGAACTTGGGACAACCTTGGACAAATTTGCTGGACTAATTGCTGGACAATGTCCAGAATCAGATACCAAGAAAGATTTGTTAGCATATCTCAAAAGGATTGAATTATATTGTCAACAATTAAACATCACATCAAAAGTAAAAGCTGATGTTCAAAATATATCAGGAAATCTAATTGTTTCTGGAGTAAGTTGAAATAATCACTGATAATCTAATTATTACCCTAACAACAATTCCCATACAAGACCATTTAATCAATTTTAATTAAATTATAAATTTGCTTAATCATTACAGTTGGATTCAGCTACATCTCTCATCCAGGCAGCTAAAAATCTGATGAATGCTGTGGTACTAACAGTTAAAGCCTCTTATGTTGCCTCAACCAAGGTAATTATTATCAGTTGCTCATCATCATTATCATCATGGAATCGCCCAAATGATCAATATTAATTCCAGTTACTTGAGAATATTTTGAAACAATTTATATTCCAACTGTATGATTACCAATCATTAGAAGGATATTATCATAATATCTAGATGAAAGTTTCATTTAATTTCATTCCAATTCATCTCATCTACAATATAAGTTAATTCTCAAGGCTGTCAGAACTCTGTTAATTGAATTTCCAAATTTCCAAGTATATTTACATTCGGGTGGTTATATATATATAATTATCCATGAGTTCCAGTTAACCATTAACCTTATTCATGTTTGCAATTCAATTAATCTAATCCAATTTTTTCCCTCTCTTTTTTTCATATCTTTCTCTCTCTCTCTCTCCAATTCTCTATTAGTATCCACGAGGAGGAATTATCAGTGTAAGTTTTATGGTATTTTAATTTATCCTCTGCAGCTAAATTACAAGATGAATACTCTCATGAAGCTCCCTGGAGAATTTTCCATTTTCAAAATAACCATAAACATATTAATCGAGAACAAGATCTTTATCAATAATCGAGAAGAGGATTATCATTTAATTAGCTGTTGTAATTTGAGTCATTGGATGTTAATTTTTCTCTCTTAGTTACAAAACTATCGGTCTAGTTGATTGATTTGATCAATTAATTGATTTACTATTTTCTTTTTTTTCTTTCTCTTTTCTCTCTATTTAGTCACCGATTGTTGTTTGGAAGATGAGAGCACCGGAAAAGAAACCCTTGGTTCGAAGAGAAAAGCCCGAAGAGGTCAAAGCTGTAGTTCGAAAAGGTTCAACAAAGCGAAACGATTCACCTCTTAAAGCATTGAGTCAATTCCAAACCGATGGATTATAATCAAAATGAACTATTCCCAATTCAGTATTTATACGATTTCCATGATAAATATATTTATTATCGCGTGATTATCTGCAATCATCATCATCTTCACCAACTCATCATCATCATCATTCCTGGATTCAATTTCCTCTCTCAATCTTAATTCTTGATAACAATCAAAAGCAATTACTAATTTTTACGATTATGCGCTTTTCTAATTGTTCTAATCATCTTTATACTAATTTTCGCAATCTCGATAATTAATTTTAATTCACTTTTATACCTCTAATTGTATTGAACTTTTTTCTCCTCCTATTTTTATATACATTTCAAATATTTGATATCTTTTTTTTTCTTGTTTGATAGTATTTCCAATCTAATATTTGTATTAATATTTATTATTATTAAGCTCTTTTTCTTATTATGATTTAATCATCATTTATACTCTTGATTGTTGCAATCAATCAAAATGATTAATTAATCATCATAATACTAATCATATCCTTCATTTGAATCTGATAACAATTACTACCTGATCTTGATCAACAATCAACTTGGTCAAACAATTAACTATGAAAAGTAACAAATGCTTAATATGTTACTGTTGTTGAACAACAATTAAAATTAATTCAGTTTACAATCAATATGTTTTATACTTTATTATTAACATGGAATACAAAAAGAAGTGAAAATGTTTCAAATTAACAATTAAAATTATATAATAACAATAATTAACCATGAAGATGATGAATGAATGAATGATGATGATGATATTGTATTTCATTCAATTAATTCATTTGAAATTTTAAATCAATTTGCTCAGAATTTGTAACAGAAAAGTTTTTGGAAATCAAATTAACTTTAATTAGATTTTTTTTTTCTCGTCGAATTAACAACAAAAAAAAAGATGAACAGAATTAATTTTTAAACGGAAAACAAAAATTAATTGCAATTAATTAAAATCTTCTATTGGTTCCAATTTCCATTTATTATTATTTTCGCTTAATTGTAGCTTATTTGATTAACTTGATTAACCAACAATTTAAATCCTTTCGCTGAATTTTGTTCATCTTAATTGTTTTTGATTCCATTGTAAATTGTTAATAGTTGTAAGGGTTAAATTAAGGCTTCTTTTTAATAATAGAAACAATTAACTTGTAATTAAATTGATTTAAAAGACAATCAAACAAAATAATGAAAAAAAAAACGAGAGAAAATGATTAAACTGAATTGATGATAATTATACAATTATAATTGTTGATGTTAATTGTTGATGAGAAAAACAAGATTTTCAGTTGAGTTGAGTGATTAACTTTGTTTAGTTTAATTGTTGTTACCGTTTCCATTTTTAAACTTAATCATCGCAATTAATTTACAAATAAATAAGATTAATCTGTTGATTTTATTTACAATTAAAAAGAAACAATTAAAATTATTGGTCAGTGTTTTTCAATTGATGATTAAAGCTTAATGATGATGATGATGATGATGATGATGATTTAATAAATCTTAATGAAATTAATCAAAGGCTAGTCAATTAATACACAATTGATTATAACAATTAATATTAATCATTAGAATTGATTATAACACAAATACTTGATTGATATATATATTTTTCTTATAATATTGAAAAGTGAAGGATAAAATTTTTCTGTTAATCATTTTGTAGCAATTAATAAATTGTTCAATTATTGTTTATTAAATATTTTTGTTTCTGCTTTTCGCAACAATTAAAGATGAGCTGACTCAAAATCAATTGATTGTTGCTGTTGATTATTATTACTATTAACTGATGATCGGTTAGATGTGATTCCATTTCTGATTAAAGGTACAACTTTTGTTATCGCATTATTATTGATAATAATGTTATTATTATTGTTTCTGTTGATTGATTTATTTTCATTAACTAAATTAGTTGAATTAATTGGACCATCATCTGAACAGCAAGAGTAATTAACAATTCCCTGGGAAGGTTCACAATTAAATGATATATTAAATTGGTGATCACTTTTTTTATTACGATTTATAAGCTCAACATGATTACCATCATCTTCATCATCATCATCATCATTAACATTATCATCATCATCATCATCATCTGTTGATTCATTGTAAATTTTATCATTTTCATTATTAATTATTATATTAGCATCAGAATCATTTTTCCTTGAGAGTAAATTAACAAAAGTAACTGCTTCATTATCATGATCAATTAATTTACCATTTGTTGTCGTGTTAACTGTTACTGATTGGGAACAATTAATTGAGTTACTAATATTAATCTCCATTGAATTACCACTTTCACCGCCACTTATACTTCCAGCCTGATTAAGGCCAATTTCTGATCCGGAAAGATGATCAATATAAGCACCTTGAGATGGATTAAGATTACAATTGTATGAACTTCCAGGAAGAAGATGAGTATGATGATGATAATCAGATCCATCGCCATCACCACCACCACCGCCGCCACCTCCATTACCTCCACATCCTGTTATACCGATACTTAAACCACCACCTCCACCAATAGTTGTACCTTTAGTTGACCCTCGGGTGGTTCTTGGGAAAACTGAATTCTCAACATGAAGAGCAGCATTAACATCCTTACCTGCCGCACAGGTAAACGCTTTGGCAAAACTTTTCTTGAAATTTTCACTTAGAAAAGCATAAAGTATCGGATTAACCGCTGAATTGGCATATGAGAGGCAACCAGCAAGTAATAATATGCAAACACAAAGGTCAGAATGACGGACATTTGGCTTTTGAAAGGTAATATAAACTTGACCAATCCAATAGGGAAGCCAACAGGCAACGTAAACCGTTATCACCGTTAAAACCAAATAGGTTACCTTTCGATGTGATCTTTTCTTTTCTTTAGATTTATTTTTAGGTCCAACAGTTCGTAATTTACATATAACAAGAAAATAGAAAAGAAAGATTAGGATAAAAGGTATAAAAAATCCTAAGGTAAAAGAGTAAAGGGTGAAAGCCCGTTGACCATTCATATACTCGTTCTCTGGGAAAACAATGTTACACGAAGCGGTTTGTCCATGGGTGAGAACTTGGGTGTAAAGGTAAATGGGAACCATTAGAAGAGCGGAAACTGTCCAAACGGTGAGGCAAATAAATTTGGCAATAAAAGGTGTTCGATATCGAGGTGATGAGATTGGATGGCAAACGGCAATATAACGATCTGCAGACATAACGGTTAATAGGAGGGAAGAAGTAAATTGATTTATTGAAGTTGTTATCATGTAAATGCGACACATTACTTGACCAAAAGGCCAAGATTTATATTTAACGGTTGCTATTAGAAAGGGTAAACCGATGAGGAACATTTCATCGGCAAGGGCAAGGTTAAAGATGTACATGTTGGTCACTGTTTGCATCTTAGAGAAACGTAGGACCACATAAAGAACCAGTGTATTACCACAAAGTCCGACCAGACAAACGATTCCGTACAAAATTTTGGTAAATTCAAGGACCAGGGCTGAATAGCCACCAATGAAGGCATCTTCCATGGTTGAATTACATTCAGGATTATATGATCTAAATGAATCAAGTGAGGTGAGAGATGAATTTACAAGAGATGCTGCTGAACTTGATGGATAAGATGTGGAAAAGGGTAAAGATGATGATGACGATGATGATGAAGATACCCCTAGGGCAGAAGATGAGGAGAATGGTGATATTGGATAAGCTGATGATGATACCGATGAAGCTAAGGTTGCTACTCCGGCTACTGCGGCTGCTGTGGCGGCGACTGGTGCTATTGAACCGGGAAACGTTGGTGAGGGAATGAAACTATTTGAATTGGTCGAGTTGATATAATCGTTGACCATTGAGGGTAAACAACCACTAGGCCAACTCATATTGTTCATGATAAATTCAGGCTGATGGATCGTTTGATCAACCATAGTAACATGTGAGTTGATTAAATTAATTATCAAAGTTTGAAGCTCATTTTAAATTTGGTTCGTACTGATAATATCATAATCTTGGAATAGTATTGAAAATTTTGAAGGTTAATTTCACTTTTATCGTATTAATCACATTCAGTTGATTAATTTTCACCTTGTAACGATTTATATTTATATTTAAATTGTCCTCGATATCCACAGAAAAATAATCACAATTTGGTTGTAATCAATTCAAGTTGATTGTTGACTTTAATGGTTTCATCAAGTATTATGATAATTTATATATATTCCCAGAATATATCAATGTCAATCTGTAATAATAATCGAAGAGGATGGAAAATAATTAAGAGTAAATATTTACAATTAATAATAGTCAATATCTCATGTCGTAAATATATATATTATCATGATGATGACGATGATGATGATGATAATCATAGGCAACAATTAATAGTTGGAGTTAAAAAAAAAAGTTGATTAATTGATTGGCAATCTAGATGAGAGAGGACGAAGAAAAAAAAACAAATTGATCAACACTCAGGTTCGTTAACAAACAAACAGAATTATTAATTAACTTGAACTTAATCAAACACTTGGTAAACTAATTATCATCTAATTATCATTGTAAGTTTAATTTTCTTTGGGTAACTTTAGTCAAACAAAAAATATATACCAGGGAAAAAAAACTCCAACAACAATCAAGTTGAAATGGTTTCACTTGTAACTTAATTGCTTAAGCACAAAATGGTTAATCACTAATTAGATAATCACTGGAAGATCAATATCACCAACTCTTTGATATTGATTGTGACAATCAACTGATTCAAGTTTATGTAATAATATATTCAAGAGAGTAGATGAAGAAGAAGAAGAAGAAAAAAATAAGAATAACAATTTAACCTTAATTAAGACAAAAGATTATTAGAACATTAGAACTTTCTGTTCTCGAATTGTTATCGAACTTTAGATGAAAAGAGAACGAAGTAGAAAAAGAAAGTTTTTCCAATCGAATTTGTTTGTTTTTTCTTTCCATTGATTATCGAAACTTATTATGATCATATTATCATATCAGTGATTGTTATGATTATCAACATATAATCAAAGGTCACGGGCAGTGAGTATTATCATCATGAGATGATAACAATAAGTATCAATAAGTTTGAGGTGAAAACATAAGTATCAACAATCAATGAATGAAATGATGAATATACAATGATGAATGTAATGAAGGGAAGAGAAAAACATTGAATATCATGCTAATAATAACATGGTAATAGAATATTATTTATAAAGAATAGAAGAAAAAAAAAAGTTTTTCGAATAAGATTGTTAACTAATGATAATAATTCTATGAGATAATAAAGAGAAAAAAAATGTCATTAACCTAATAATAACATTCTCTCGAATATACAACTCGATAGAACTTGTTAGAATTTTCTGTTCTCTCTCATTCTCTCATTTATATTCGTTCTGTTAATATTCAATTCAAGTTGATTACATTTAACATGATTATTATCACAATTACAATAATAATGTTAACACTTTTATGTTTCCAGTAACAACAATTGAATAACATTAAGGCTTAAAATCTGCTAATATTAATGTTTCATGAAAGATTCAGCTTATCATGAAAATAACCAATTATCTCATTTCATCATTATCTTTATTAGAACTTTTTTATTTTCTCTTCTTCTTAATTTGGTTCCATGATAGTAGATCAACTATTGGAGAGAGTGAAAAATTCTGTACCATTCAGATGCAAACAGAGTATCTCATATAAATTATATGGGAAATTAAAGTCTCGTCGAGTATCAAGAAAAAAAAAGAAGCAAAATTTTCAATCAGTTTGAAAGAAAAAGAGAAGAAAAAAGTTCTGAAAAGTTCTGATGAATGTTCATCATCATCGATCAACATTAAATGGTAATCATTTGGAATTGAAAGGTGATTGAAATTAAAAATGAAAACTCATGAAAAGAGTATATAAACTTGAGGGCATTTTGTTACTATTTCCTATTAAGGAGAAACAAAAAAACTATTCAGAGAAATGAACTTTTCATTCAATTGTTTTCCATGTAATTTCATGTTGACGCAAGTCGTATGTTATTATTAATGTAATAATAGGTTGGAACTTGTTTTTCTAGGTTATAATAATAAAAGACCACTGAACAGTGGGTTTGAAAGTATCTTATGAAAAGTGAACCATGGGATAAGACGATACGAAATTAACAGAACTGAATATGGAACAAAAAACAACAGAATAAAAATTTGAAGAAAATTTTTTTTAACTTCTCATTGTTTCAAAGGAGAAACTTTCACTTTTCTAACTCTTTCTTTTTCTTGTTCACCCTGAAGGCTAATGACAGGAAATAATTTTCTTATCATGTTTTTTTTTCATGTTGTTATCAGAATTGTAATTACTATGTTCTCATGTCTGTATGAGTTTGTTTATATATAGATTGAAGTTTGGGAGAAAAGATGATTTTATGAGACGATTTTGCTTCAATTCTTTGAATCAGTGGATTGGATAACTTTCTGAAATTCTATGATAACAATAATGATTCTGGATGGAGGTTCATTAATATCGATGGTTTCTTTTTCTATTTTCTCAGATATTCGGTCAGATTTTTGTTTACCTGTTCAGGCAAATTGAAATTTCATGGAGAACAACAAGTTGCAGGGAGTGAATAGAATCAACATTTTCCTCAGCTTTTCCATTATTCTATACACACGCAGATACACACACAAGCATATTCTCTTGATACCTTCATACATTTTTCATTGTTTTTTTCTCTTTACTTCTACTATCCAACTAATAGCTGTTTCGATGACAACAATTCCCATGAGATATCTCATAGGTTTTCCCTCACTCGTTACCTGTATTCATGATAAAACTCAAAATTCAGGTAGAAAGTAAGAGCTCGAGAAAACAAAATTACATCTTGAGTAATTTTATTTTCTTCATCTTCTACTTCATCCCTCATCCACCAGCATATATCGATTAGAAACTTATCATTTCGATAATTTTATCTTCAAAATGTTCAATGAATAAAAAAAGCAGAACTTGAAAAGATTATCAAGAAGAGAGAGAGAGAGAGAGAGAGAGAGAGAGAGAGAGAGAGAGAGAGAGAGAGAGAGAGAGATAAAAACGAATCAAATCAAAGTTCAAAATAGAATTGAAAAGAAAACAAAATTGGTCGAAATTTTTTTTTCAATCGCAACCGAAAAAAAACTGAAACTCGAACTTCAGTAAACATGATATCCTATCGGAAACATCAATCACTTGAAATGCTTAAATTTTTCATTTTCATTTGAATATTTAAAACGATATCAACATTATCATGTTGGTTGATTTAAATTTCCAAATAATATTGAGTTATGACAAAGGAAAAAACAAATTAAGATGATGAAAAGTTATCAGCATGATGCTAATACGAAATCATTTATATATAATATACTAAAGGAAATGTTATAACATTGATGATAAATTAACGATTCTGGAAGCCAAGAAAAATTTCTGAAAGAGAGATAGAAACTCGTAAGTGTACAGTTATCATTAATTTCATCTCATTCTCTCAATGAATTATTTATTTATCATATTATTTTATTTTCTTTATTCTCATGTCAACACTGAATAATACCCGCGAATTTATCATCATCTGAACATAATAATTTTCTTTATCGACTTCATTTTCACCCGTTTTTTTTTATTAAATTTATCTCTTCATCGTTAAACAGTTTTAACTTGAGAATTGAAATCATCATGAAACATAAAAGATACAGATTGGTGAGAGAGATAGAGAGAGCGAAAGTTCATCCATGAGAAATTCATAGATAATATTGTCACATGAAATAAACGATGAATTATAAATAAACTGTAAAGGAGCAAAAGAAATGGAGATAAACTGAACAAAGGTAAATTAGCATGAACAATGAATTCGCAATTCATATTACTACTAATTTTTACCTTTATCGAATATGTTTGCTTAGAATAGTTCTAATTGTGTCATCTCAATACATTCAGGATTTATTCATGTTCATTTTCAGAATTTTTTATTTTCACTCCAAGAGAAATGAATTTTTGTTTTCTTACATACAACAATTTACTTGATGGCGACAATATAAGTTGATTGTTTGACAATCTGATGAGAGCTTTGGAAACATTTTGTTCATTATTATTTGAAACTGTCACTCTCAATCTAATATCTTTAAGTGTGAATGCTCATGATTATCACCAGCATCATGAAGATATTGTTACGGTTTCTGTTCTTGTTCAAATGTTGTTGTTTTTTCTTATGTTACACAACCAGGGAGAGAGAGAGATCCAAACTTCTTGCCTCAAGTTGATTGTAAGGAAATAAATTGTTGACAATGTTTATTAAATTATTCTGATTAAAGAGTGAAAATTTCATAGGAACAAATTTTCATGATTCCAGCATGATTGACTTGAAAATAACTTTTCGATAAGTAAACTCGTCTATTATATAAATTTACTCATAAGTAGTGAAAGGATACCCAATCAACATATAAATTTTTTTTGACAGAAAATAACAATTTTTTGACTCTTTTTTGACTCAATAATTGACTCAAAAATTTGTCAAAATGGTTTTGAACGAAAGAGAGTAAAAAAAGACTCAAATTGTACTCAGAATAGAGTCTATGAAATTGAAACTTGTGAATTTCAATTTTTTTCCAATATCGCGGGTTGAAAATAGAAAAATTGATCATTTGAATAAGCGCAAAATTTGAACTGGTATCTTGTTTATTTTGAAAAAATTTTTCAAGGAATTTTGAATTTCATAATTTTGGTAAAATGATTTGATCTAATTACAATGATCATGAGCAATAGAATAATAGAATTTGTATATGATAACAATGAAAAGATTTGGACAAGAATAGTAGAATAAAAAAGGCAAATGTAACAATTTTTCTCATAGGAATATGAATTCAATTTCTTTCAATAGAAATTCAATAGATTCAGAAATCATTGATATTAAAACATTGGCTGTTCATGGTGATTCCATTGGTTTGATCTCTTGTGAGAAATCCATTGCCTCAGCTTCTGAGAAAATTGGATCTTCGGTTGATTGTTTAAATTTTTCGTACAAACAATTAGCTTTTTCGTTGATTTCTCTCAATGGTTGATCCTTTAGGTTCTTTTTATTTGATTCTTGAATATGTTTTTTCAAATCTTTTTCTTTAATGATTATCTTTCTTTTGATTTTCTTTCCTATGGATCTTTTAATGATCTTTGAAGGCAATTTATCGGAAAGTTGAGATTGAATCACTAGAAAAATTAAAATCAAAATTAAAA